TATTTCAAGGAAAAAATTCTTGTCTAATTTTGTGATGGTGATTTAGTAACAGTTATTCTATTTGAGGCCCTATTCCTAGTCCTCATAACTCAGAAAAGTATTTGCATCTTTGTGACCTGAGTTTGGCTTTAGCTCTTCTTCCATATACTTTAATTTCGGAAATTCATGATAAGCAGGGTTTTTAGTATGAAAGTGTGATTAAAATATGACGGTAAATGGTAGAATTTAGTATCATAATAGTTTCACTCTTAATTCCTGAACTGGCAAAAACGTTACTGAAGCAGGTAAGATAGTACCAGAATTTAGGGTGAGGGGCATCACATTCAGAGCAAAGGATGCTGGTAATTAATTTCATAAGAAGAGATAAATATGGTGCAGTAGAGCGGAAACAGCTGGAAAACTGAAGTAGCCTGCTCAGAAAAACTGAGGACAAAAGGCTAAAGATGTAATACTGGCTGCAGCAGTTTTTGTTCTTTTCGAGCACATTAATTGTCACTGGGTTGGAATATTAGACTCAGGGGACCAAATTCTAATTCTGTGCTCATAGTCATGCAAGCCTGATGAACTTCAGAGCATTCTACATACATGATAGCCATAAATGAATTAAAAAAAAAACATTTAGAACTGGAAGTATACACATATGGAATTAATGGCTTAATTTTTCTTCTTGATTTCATAAATAGATATATATTTCATGAAATGGCTGTAATGTGCTTAGTGCATATGCTGCCTCTGTTTTTAACCTAATCCCTTAATGAAATGAAGCTGATGCAGTCATGTTTTCTGTCTGGCTTTTGAACTTGGTGGCAAATTTAAACCACATTTAACAGAGAGGTAGAAGCCTCAAAGCAGTTTAATCATTAGCAGCTTCATGAATGTAGGAAGCTGGATAGAAGAAAGACAGTGTTACTACTACTGAGAGACAGGTTGTTTGAAGCACATGGTATCCTTTTGGATACTGGAGAATCCGTGTGAATGTGCAGCCTGAAGACTCAGCTCCTGTATAGGATCTGCCACTCCCAGAACTCCTCACCTTTTGAGTGACAGCCGTTTTGGGTTTCTCATCCCACTTCTGTGATGCACTTTTTGGCAGAAGGATGACAAAGCCTGTTAAGAAAACGTCTTAATCCATGCCTTGTAAACACATTTAGTAATAGGAGGTAACCAAAGGTACTTAAACGTCACTGAATGTGGTCGTGTAAGTTTCAAGTAACCCTTTTTCACTTTCCAGGTCCACACATTAGAAGCCTGTGTGTAGCTAAAAGTACAGTTCAGCTAAGCAGTGATAGCTTACCCAAATGTGCCAATGCCATTACAAGCATTTAGTCAAGATCCAGAAGAGTAACAGCCAAGCCATGGACTGGAAGAATTTCCAGGTGTAATGTAACCGTTGAGGGGGCTGAGGAGAGGTGTATAAATAAGCGATGTTGCTGAGAAAGATACAGACTTTCTCATCAGAGAAGATAAAGGTTAATACTATGAGGAGTGGTCTCATGACGTAAATGACCCTGCAAGATGCAGCGCTAAGCTGCAGTGGAAATAAGCTTTTTGGTTTGAGCTGGGCTTTACATTAGAGCTGCCCTGCAGCATGACTGTGAAAGGTAGGTACTTTGCGAGGAGATGAAAGGGAGAGTACTGGAGCTGCAGGCAGTTCTCAGTGCAGTTATACAGGGAAAAAATGGGGTTTTCATGGTGAAAGGTCAGTGTTGTGAAGCTACAAGATGCTTTGGGAAAGGAGGGGAGAAAGAGACTTTACCGGCAAGTCTATCAAGTCCGTTCATGATATGGGTGTACTTTAAAAATGAAAAAGTGAATAATGCTAAGATTTGCTGACTTAAGCTAATTTCACAGACTCTCAGCTGTCCTTAATATATGTGTCAATGAGATGCAGAAGCCTGGTTTCTCATCCCGGCAAATGCTGATTTCCCTGTCTGCTCTGCAGCCTGACTGTGGAATTCAGCAAAACAGCCTGCCAACTACCCTTTGCCTGTTGGTCTGGCCCCACGTAGTCTGGTTAAATGCAGAAAAGTAAAGAATTTCTGGGATAAGATTAACTTTTAATTATCTTAAAAATCAAATGCAGTTCAGTGAGGGATTGGCAAAAGGGACACTGGGATTCTGTATCCAGCATTGAAACCAGAGGTATCGGACAACAGGATTTATCGAATTTTGTTAATCCTTGTCCATTTTAAGAGGAAGTTGAAGTAAGACAACTGTGTCTTATAAAGTAATTGGGCAGACACTGTCCCCTAAAGGTGCTGGAGAGCACCAGCTATTTTTTGCCTCCTGTTCTCTCTTCACACTGCAGTAATATTCACAAGACTTGCAGTCCCCACATGCCTGGGGGTGCAGTGCACACAGGTGCAGGCTCACGAGGCAGCTGCGCTGCCACCCTGTTGAGAGCTGTGCAGCGTTGTGCTGGAGGCCCACCAGCGTGAAGCTGTGCCCGGAGCGCAGGGCAGGGCACCGGTGCTAGAGCGATGAATCTTGCCTTCTACAAGTAACGAAGCCAGTTAAGTAACACATTGCGACATCTCCAGCTTTCCGCTGGGTAGACCTGGATGTGCCCTTTTGGGTCTATAATATGCCCTGTTGGGTCTGTAATACAGCCAAGTCCTCCTTAGCTTGAGTGACAAATACTGGAGTACTCCATACTTCTTCAAAGCAAAGATATGGAAGTGGAGCCAAACCATGTTGCTAGGTAGGAACGTCTGAGGATAGTACTTGAAGTTTCTGCCTCCTTATGACATTTGTATGTGCTTTTGACCCTTGTCAGAACGGGGCCAAGCTGTGCGTTAAAAGATAGTAATTACTATTCTAGTAATTATGATAGACACGGTCATCAGCAGAGTTGGCTGCATACGGCTCTGCAGAATACAAGTGGGGTTTCTAGAAACAGATGTCTGGCGCGAGAAGGAAATTGGTCTTTTTTGGTTTGTACTGTTTTTGAGAGAGAACAGATGAAGAGAATGACTCCGCTTTTGGAAGTGAAGAAGTGGATACTTATGTTTGACAGTAGTTAATGCAATGACTTGAAGAACATCCTAGTGAAAAGACAAATGCATCTGTCCCTGTGTTAGGGAGTGGGAAAGTGAGCAGCGCAGCTGCCTCCTGTAGGGCGTGTGTGAACGCTGCTGCCGCGTTCGGGTTACTGCAGGCACCTCTACTCTGCAGCCTGTCAGTGCAGGGGAGAGGAGAGGAGGGCTCCCCTTGCTTCTTTTTAAACATGATGCTCTACTTCCCGACAGCTGGTTTTAGAGGAATTTTTTAGCAGAAGAAACATCTTGTCCATCTTTCTTACAGGAAAACACTGAGACAATTTAGATTATTCACCATAAGCTTAACATCAGCTTATTCAACTTGCTTTACTTTCTGTGATAGGCCTGATAGTTGCTATGTTAAAACAGAACAGTTTGTCCTGTCCCGTCCCGTCCCCCGGTAACATGTGTCTGAAGTGGTTAGATTACTAATGATAAAAATAATATTTAACTGTGTAAAAGACAGTGGGACGTTGTATGGCTTGAAAGGCAGTACCTGATTGGTAGGAGATGCATTAGAAAAAAGCTTTTCCAAGTAAAATTGCTGTTGAGTTGTATAAATAGTACCATAATGTAAGCAGGTGGCAAATGAAAATGTTTGGTTTCTCACAGCTGGCAGGTACTTTTATTTTTTTCAGGCATTGAGAACTTCTAAATCACCTTCGGATGCTCGACTACTCAAAAGTATTCGTTCCCATCTACCGGTGGTTTTGATCATTTGTAACACTTACAAAAGCAGAACATTAATTCTTTCAGCAAACGTTGGCCAAGATTAGGGTCATGCCTTTATTTTTCGTGTGAGATATCGAGGCTGTGGTTTGACTGTATAGTAAATCTGGTTTTAGGGCTTCTATTACCAAACGTGTCAAAACGGGCAGTGCCAAATAGTGCACTGTCTGGAATAAACTCAATCTGATGGCTCGTTTAAAACATTTTTCCGGTTTACTTTGTACTGGCAGGGTTTGTATTGGATCAGATGTTGTCTGTTTAAGCTGCTTTGACTTTATGCTGGTTCAGATATCAGCCATCCATCTGTACCTGGTGTAAATGTGGAACATACTTTGAGTGAAGTGCTCTGGCTAGTACAGTGGAAACAAGGTTCTGTGCCAAAGCCCTTTCCAGATCAAACTCGTACTGCTGTATAGCCAGTCATTTTTTATTATTATTATTTTATTTTCACACTGACTGATATATTTGGTCGTGGAACTGTAGCCTGAGAAAGTAAGAAGTTTGCTTCAGCCATGGATTTTAAACCTGAAATAGTTCATTTCCATTTCCATGCCTTACTTTACCAGGCTGATGCTCTTTGGGACCATTACTACTCTTTCATTGTGAAATTTGCTGCAGGATGGAGAAACAGCTCTGCAGGTAGTCCACTGTGCTATTCTAGCCCAAGCGAATGCGTAACAAAGTCTCTGTAGCCCTCAGCAGCCCTTGCTCAGAGCTTATTTGGAAGAAGTGTACAGAGCAGCAGCTTTGATGGCAGGCCAAAGGCATCACTACATTTGCACAGCTCCAGAGACTCAGCATGCCATGTTTCGGGTGCAGAGGGACAGATCAAGGGCAGGACTAAGCAATTTTGGAAGTACTGCAGCCATAGTGCTGCTTGTTTACTGACTGGGGCTTGACTGATTTGCTGCAAATGCACAGGTCTGTGTTCCTCCCAGCATTAAGTCCCTTTTATATAAACTTTGAAGAGAGGTGTGAGATTCATCTTTAGCAAGCAGTAATCCTTCTCGGTGGGCTGTAAATTGTAAATAATGATTCTTTCCTATTTTTGAAAGTGGTTTGTCTGATCAACAACTTATTTTGTGACGACCTGAATGAAGCAGACCTGGAAAACGGTGTTGTTGAGTTGGGCTCCTGTTTCTGAAGTTGCATGGACTATTTCAGCACTCCCATCTTGCCTCCTCAGGGCTTGTAAATCCAGTCTCAAACAGATTTTTTTTCTTTCTCTTTCAGGACAGTTATTCTGAGTGACGGCCCTTGCAAGCGCTTCTGAGTGGTTATCATGGGCTTCATTGCCTTTCTGAAGACCCAGTTCATAGTTCACCTCCTCATTGGGTTTGTTTTCGTTGTGAGTGGACTAATCATTAACTTCATTCAACTATGCACGCTAGTCCTCTGGCCCATAAACAAGCAGTTTTATCGTCGAGTAAACTGTCGCCTTGCCTATTCGCTTTGGAGCCGTGAGTATGCTTGAAGGGGACGTGAGGTCTGAGGGGGTGGTGGTTGTTTTTAGTTTTCTTTTCAAAGGGAAAAATAAATATATTTCTATATGTTCATGTTTCTATATATATTTGAACATGAGCCAACAATGTGCCCTTGTGGCAAAGAAGGCCCATGGTATCCTGGGCTGCATTAGGAAAAGCATTGCCAGCAGGTCAAGGGAGGTGATCCTTCCCTTCTATTCAGCCCTGGTGAGACTACATCTGGAGTGTTGTGTCCAGTTCTGGGCTCCGCAGTACAAGAGAGATACAGAGCTACTGGAGCGAGTCCAGCAAAGGGCTGCAAAGATGATTAAGGGACTGGAGCATCTCTCGTATGAGGAGAGGCTGAGAGAGCTGGGCCTGTTCAGGCTGGAGAAGAGAAGGCTCAGGGGGATCTTACCAATGTGTATAAATATCTGATGGGAGGGTGTCAAGAGAACAGGGCCGGATTCTTCTTGGCAGTGCCCGGTGACAGGATGAGAGGCAATGGGCACAAACTGAAACACAGGAAATTCCATCTGAAAACAAGACGACACTTTTTCACTGCAAGGGTGACTGAACAGGCTGCCCAGAGAGGTTGTGGAGTCTCCATCCTTGGAGATACTGAAAACCCAATGGAGCATGGTCCTGGGCAGCCTGCTCTAGCTGACCCTGCTTGAGCAATATTGGTTAGACCAGATGACCTCCAGAGGTCCCTTTCAGCAGCAACTATTCTGTGTTATGTATTTCTATGTGTGTGCGTGTGTGTGTGCGCGTGCACACATATATATTTACCACCCCCCACACAAGAGAGAACTAGTAAGTTAGTAGCAGACTTTTTCAGAAAGGTCCAAAGCAGCCTTCTTTTACCGAAATACTGGGAAAACAAAGTCATGTGACTACATACTGTGACTTTGTTATTTAAAAGACATGGAAAGTAAAGCCACTCCCTTCTCTCTCTCCCCCTCCCCGCCAACTATATCTTGATTGGTAAGAAATTGCCGATTCTTTCTCAATACCATTTTCATCCTGTGTTAAGTTCACAGATTACATCAGATATTTAGCATAGGTGCTACGCTGACTGCTTGTTTGGGAGCCCAAGTTGACTATGTGGTCTGTGATGAGACATGTCTGTCTTTTAAGTACTTAATGCAAATAAATACCTTTATAGCTGAACCATGTGGCAGCTTCAAAGTCCTTTTGTACCCTATGATGTCTGTCTATGGTGCCTGTGTCTCCTTTTTTGCCATTTGCAGAGTGGGGCTGCTCTGCCCTCCTCCTTCAGACCTTCACAAAACTTCTTCCCTGTAGATGGATTGTTTTCTCCTCATACAGCTTAAGATTTTTGAAATGAGTGTTTAAAAGGCTCCTTAATCTAAATGTCACCTCCTATTTCAGTGGTGAATCATCTAATTCATTTCCGTTCTCCATCCCCTCTCAATGTACATGACCAGTTACCTTAGTGGGAGTTGCTGAGCACTTTGGGTGAATGAGTGCTTAAGTTACAGTTGAGCAGTCTGCTAAACAGGCACCCATATTTCTTGAATCATTGATGCGAAGTACTGCCAACAACAATTCTCTATAGTATCTAGCTCAGTTGCTTGATAAGCTTATTATCCTTGTCCTTCCTGTGCTTTTTATCCCACCTATTCAAACTGTTGTCTAAGAAGCACAAGAGAAAGGAAATTAAGTAGAGAATGGCAGGCAAATTGTCAAGAGAAAAGGTTTTGTAGTGGAAAAATGTATATAAAACAAAAGTTAGCATGGTTGAGGGGGGACATGGAGATGTATGTGATTGTCTTGTTTATTTTGCTTGTAAATAATGCTTAATATCCTTTTAATAACTTACAACCTGATCTTATCTGGAAAACTATTGTTGCACAAGTAGTTTGGCTTTTCTGAGGCTATGCGCTGCTTGTACCTGTAAGGTTTGTAGGTTCAGACTCTTGATTTCTCCAAGTTAGCACTGTGTAGAGAGAGATCACATTTTAAATGCTGTTGTCAGTCTGCTGGGTGTACTGAAAATACCCTGCACTGTTGTTCAAAAAGGTTCGGAGAAGTTGAGCAAATAATTGGATTGCACCTAGAATAACCCCTTGTGTATAGCCTACTCTATAAATCAGAGTGAGAAATTAAACTATGAAAATAAATGTCAGTGTTACTTGGGCTAGAACAGTGGTGATGGCCTGTAATGGAAGAGCTGACAGAACATATACTCCAGTTGTGATTTAGAATGAAATAAATAAGCCCGGTGAATCAAGTGGTTCAAATGTTGCCATTCATAATTAAAAAAAAAAAAAATTACTCCTACTGCAGGGAAGCCTTTTGGCAGTGAATCTGTAGTTTGGTATTCTATTCCAGAAGCTATGTTTTGGTCACTTATTTCAAACTGCTTATTTTTAGGCTGGTAATTTTTGTGCAAGAGCTCTGCTTCCAGTAGTTTCTCTTTAACAAAAGCTGCTCCGCCACTGTGGCGGAGGAATGTATGTGCAGGAATAGATACACAGGTGTGCATGTGGGTGAACATGTACTGTAATCTAGAGAAAACAGAGCTGTACACTTACTTTGCATATTTGAGGTAAGATATGGTATGGCTGCAGAGGGGGAAGGACATAAACTTTCTCCAGTGTCCATGGCAAACACTGGGGGGAAAAAAAGAAAAAGCAGTGAGAGAGATGTGGTTTGGACTTGGAAACTTTTTAACAGTAAGAGATAGTGAAGCACTGCAATAATCTGGGGAGGCTGCGGTTCAGATACCTAAGGACAAGTCAGACCAGTGGTCTCAAACTTGGTGGTATCCGCTCTCAAAGTGGTATCCGCTCCTCCTCTTTACCTGTGACAGCCAAACCCTCTCTTGGTGCCACACGCACGTACATACTCTCTCTCCCCACGCTGCTCTGCCCCAGAAGCATGGGTCAGCCATACCCCCTCAACCCAGCCCTGCTGAGCACAAGTCTGCAGTTCATATCCCTCCTGCAAAAAGAGGATTTGCGCCAGAAGCTTCAACAGGTCCTGTCCTGCCTTTCTGCAGCACCCATCACCCCTGGCCAGCTTTTAGCCTTCCTCACCTGACCTGCTGCAACCTGATGTGCAGCCAGCCAGAAGCCAGAGCTCCCCCAGGAGCAGCAGCTCAGCTCTTGCCTGCATGTGTATACACACGTACACGTGTTCCCATGCTTAGGTGGGTTATCTCTGCGCTGAGAGCTGCTGTTTGCTGCAAGCACCTCTTAGGGGTGGTTTTTGCACAGCTGATGTAGCTGTCAGTTGGGGAGGACTGGATTTAGGTACCTCCAGAGGTCCCTTCCAAATTGATTATTTTATGATGTTAATACTTTCCCCTGACAAATGGTTTGTTTGTTCTCGTGGCTTCACATACGTTGCCTAGGTCTCACGGAGCACGTGCTGCCCCTGCCGCGGGGCCAGCCAGGCAGCGATACTGGCCGTGGTAGCTGGGTCGGAGGGACCTGCAGCCCTCGCGGTGCTGTGGCGCGCTTTGTTCCGGTTTGCCAGTTGCCGTTGAGAAGCATCTAATTTTTGTGAAACAAATGACGTTCAGCCAGTGAGCGCATCCCAGCGCCTTACAGAATCACCCTTGAGGGCCTGCCTCTTCCCCAAGACAGTGCTGCCTGGTTTTGGGGTGACGCCGCCTCTCTCCATCACTCCTGCCAGGACCATCCTGGGGTAAATTGGTGCTGGAGGTTTCTGCCAGACTCTGTACTAAAAGTGAACGCTTCTTCACATATTTAATTCATGAAGGAAAATCTATATTCCAGGCTTACTCATGTTAACTCGTTTTTTCAGATGACTCATGCCTTTGGGTAGCACGGTATGTTTAGTTTAGTCTAATTGCAAATATGATCTCCCAGAATCTTAGTACTTTAAAAATGACTGTCCTTAGCTTTCTAAAGAGCTGGGAGATGAGCTCTGCCTCTCTTGCTTATTTTGTTCCCAGATGTCTTGTGAGGCCATAAGACCACTTGCTTTGGCGTGTTGGAATCTGGACCACAGGAAAGATTTTTATTTTAGTAGGATGTTATTGTTCCATTTACATGAAACACTGCAAGTCTTACTTGCTCTTTGTTTAGAAGGATAGGCTTGCTGTAGCAGTGACAGGATCAGTACCACACAAAATGGCTATAAGCCACACACCAAAAAGGGAAAAAAAAAGAAAAAAAAAGAGGAAATGAACCCACTCCTTGTTATAATTGCATCATTTATCAGTACTCTTGTAAAGGACAATTTGTTTCCTCATATTAATTCTCTGGCTCATCAACCCTTCTGTTTCAGTATGAACTCTGGCAAATCACTAAGCAAAGCTTCCTCCACTATTTCAGAATGAATAGTATAAGAAATGCTCTTGCACTAAATCATCTGTGCCTGCCTCAGCAGAATTTTTGCCTGATCTTGAGGAAGAAACACGTGTTTTATTTTATTTTTGATAAGAAAATGCAGCAACCATATCGGATACTGGCCATGTTGCTCCTCAGTATGTAGAGAACAATGGAAAGGCAAATTGTTCAGGGTCCCACGCTAAGTTTAGTCTACTCTCCTGAGCACCTGCGAGAGCGTAATGGGGATGTTCTCGCTGTCCTCCCTTTTCACTGAGCAGAATAATCAGAGCAAGAATGGTAAGCGATCATGTCATTCCTACAGGAGACAAAGCTAGAAAGACATCACAGAAATTCCTAATTGGTATAAGCTTTATATGAAGTTGATATAAGTTCAGTCGACAAAGGTTACGCTCTTTTGACCAACCAGTTGCATAACCTTCTCCTGCTTCCAAATGAGTCTTGAAAAAATGGTACAGTATAATGGCCTGGTAGATACATGGACATGAAAGGAATACAAATGAAATGACTAGTATTGAAGAAGCTGTGTCTGTTCAGCAGATTGTAGTATTTTTTTTCCCCTGCTATTCACCGAATACCAAGTTTCCCTTCTCTCTGCTGTGGTGCAAAATGGGACCAATTCATATGTAGTAGCATTGACAGAGTATGCTGAATTGTGATTCCACTGATCAGAAGCCCTTGTGCCGGAGGGCACTAATCCGTTTTGCAAAACTCTGTTGCAGAAGGTCTATGGTATGGCATCATATCCATGTAAAAGCCTTTTGTTGGTCTGTTAACCTCCATAAAGCTTGCTTCATGCTGAGTAAAAACATTAGGCTGGATCTATGCTTAATTTGTATTCTACCTGGGAGAAAGTGTACTCATTCAGTGGTGCAATCAACAGCTCAACAGTCTATCTTCAGGCAGATTTTTTTCTTCTTTTGGTGATCATGAAATTTCGTATTCATAATAAAATGAATACGCCTACATTTGTCACTGTTTAAAATTATCCAAAATGTGTATAGTGCCCTAAATAGTGCGTAAGGATAGTGATGTGGTTTGGTCCATACTTGTCCAAGCTTTCATTTCATCTGTAGTGGATTGAATTGAAAAGGTGAAAGTGATGTTTGCAGTCAGAAAAAGCTGGGCATTGCGTTGGGCTGGAGATTAAATGGTAAATGCTTTCTATAAGCATGACACCTAACTTGTCTCTCTGTCTCCATTGTGTCTGTCAGAGTTAGTAATGTTGCTGGAATGGTGGTCAGGCACAGAGTGTACCTTGTTCTCCGACCAGGCTACGGTGAATACCTTTGGGAAAGAGCACGTCATCATCATTTTGAATCACAACTTTGAAATCGACTTCTTATGTGGGTGGACTATGACAGAGCGCTTCGGAGTACTAGGGGTATGTGGTGCCGTGAGCTCTCCCTTCAGCCTGAGGACTACAGGTCTATTTTAAACCTGTGCACGTTCAGTTTCTTTGCACTTGGGTTTCCATATGTAACTCCATTAGGTCTCTGTCATCTTAACCTTAATGTTTTTGTCTGATCTCACTGTATAAATCAGCAAATGACAGTTTTGGATTGTTTTTGTTTTTCTCCAAGAGTTCCAAAGTTCTTGCTAAAAGAGAACTATTATATGTGCCCCTAATTGGCTGGACGTGGTACTTCCTTGAGATTGTCTTCTGCAAAAGGAAATGGGAAGAAGACAGAGATACAGTAATTGAAGGATTAAAACGCTTGTCTGATTATCCTGAATATATGTGGGTAAGTGTGAGGTTCCTCCTATAGTATCGACTGTGCAAGAAGTGAAATGCTCGTGTAGCGCAGTAGCCATATGTTGGGGGAAGTTCTGCTCCCTACTTCCTTCACACATGGTCAAGGAAAACGTATGCCTTGTTTCAGGAGGTTTTGGGGATATGCTTGTAAAGACTTGCTCTATTTGTTTATGGTTAAGGAATGTCATTTGGGAGGCAACTCAGAAGCTTGTGTAGATGATTAGAAGCTTGAAGATGGTTTATAAATCAGGTCTGTGTAATGCTTGCTAACTTTGTGTTAATTGCCTTTTACTTTGTTTTTGTTTTTTTAAAAAAAAAGCCCGTATTTGACTACTGTCTGTAGAAACTTAAGCTAAATTTTCTGAGGTAGGCTAAAAAAGACGCAAATGAAAATGTTTTTTTCTTGGAAAAGTGTTTAAGTAGTATCATTAACCTCTTAACCTTCTTTTAGCTTTGAATGCAAATGTTTTGATAAACTTACTAGTTTACGTTTATAGCAGCACATTTAATGTGCAGTTGTTTGACTGATAAAACGTTTTAAGTGATTTGCTTTGTTCATTTTAAGTGAATTTCAGTACTATCCAATAGTTTATCAAAATAAGTAGTGAAATAGTAAGCTTTAACTAGTAGATAGTGAATTTGCCATTTGTGATTTTTCTGTCATTACAAAATTATAAAGGACAATGTATTTTAAATTATTTAATCGTTTGAATAAACAGGTATGAACAAAATTTAATATATCCTCCTGATTAGTTAAAAAAGCAAAAACCTACCAATTAAAAATGTCAAGACAATATTTTTAGTTGTGAATCTATACAATTTAATGGTTTTACTATTGAGAACCAAGGACTAGTCTCTAGGGAAAACAGCTTTTAAGAAAATGCAGAACATATGTAGCATTGATTATTTAAATTAAGACTTCCTGCTTGGTAATTTAAATCATGATTAAAATTGACTTGAATAAATCGATTTCCTAATTTCTGTGCATGCTCAGTGTCACAATTAGGGTTGTCTATGCAGCCTTCATTAGGTCTTTTTCACATATGCGTTACAGTGTAGTTTGTATCATGGTCACATACTTTAGTTCAGAAGAATCACTGCATAGTTGAGTAGACAGGATGAGGATGTTTCATAAAAGAGAGCTTGAATTTAAGAGCGTAGGCCGAGACTGCAGTATTACACGCTATACCTTGCATTGTCCTAGCCCACCCGTCTGTGGAGATGGGTTAGGTATTCATAATGAGTACTTCCCAAAGGGCCAAATGAAGATTGTGCGGCCAGCTTCTATTCTGCCATTGTGCTCTGGCATTTCTAACTGTTGCGTTTGGCTTTGCAGTTTTAACATTCATTTAACTTACCTTTTATGGTACACAATGTGTGTATACACTACAAAGAAAAAGTCGACACCACAGTACTGACAAACAACAGACGTATAGTGACTCATTCAGCAAGCCTTTCTTTTGAATTGCAACATGACAGCATTGTGTCATACTGCTGTGGGAAGGAGTAGTGGCGACCGTCCCTTTCCCTTTCCCCCGGCTATTGCCTGTCTGTGATGCAGAGGTTTGTGCTCTGGAACACAGCAGTGTTTGAGGTAAAACGAAGTCACGAGGGGAACGAGGTCCACCATTCAAAAAGGCCAGCGATGAACAGAAATTCTCCCTGGGGCACTCGGAAGAGCTTGATTTGTCTGCTGTTGGTGCTGCTTCTGTTCTCTCTTGCAAGTAGAGCAGAGGTTACACAGAGGTTGGAGAAGGACAGATCCACATTTTGTGCTGCTTGAAGTGAGTATGGGAGGATTTCAGTGTTAATAGTTACTCAGGATACAGTCATACTGGTGATCTGCAAGATGAACAAGGTGAAGGGTAAAGGGGAGGTAAAGGTAAAGAGGAACAATTTTAGGGAAGGCACCACTTTTTCTGAACACAACTGATACAAAATACAGGAAAAAAAAGAAAAGCTTTCAGGCAGACAGGTCTGTCTTCAGATGAGTAATTCTGGTTGTACACAACAAATTTTAAATGAGGTATTTAGTGACTAATGTTTTTTCCAGAAGTGACTGTGTACTGATGTTTGGATTGCTTTCCCTGATTTGCAGTCTAGTCTACCACCAGCCAAAGCTCTTAGAGATTTTTATTTTCGCAAGTGAACATTTCACGTATAACTATTTGGAATTTTGTAGTCTTAAATTTGGGAACAGTGTTGTTAAATTTAAATATCATCTATTGTGAATGAGTTGTGAGGTGATGCTTGTGCCATATTCGTAATGAGCAAATCACGCAGCTGAAGAGTGCATCTGTGTATGCACACATATGCATGTGTGTGTCTTGCAAAAATTTTCAGTATTCTGCCTGGTTTCTTCTTATGATCACAGGTTATCTTTGTTTTTTCCTTTTGTCTTGTACTAGTTTCTCCTGTACTGTGAAGGAACTCGTTTTACAGAGACCAAGCATCGTATCAGTATGGAGGTAGCTGAATCCAAGGGGCTGCCTAAACTGAAATATCATCTGTTGCCCAGAACCAAAGGTTTCACCACTGCTGTGCAGTGTCTCAGGGGAACAGGTATTGGCAAGCTGTTATTTGTTCTTAACATTAACTGTAAGATGTTGTTTAGTATACTGTGTTGTATAGTGTGGTTTAGTATACTGTTTTTCGTTGTGTGTGTTACAATTAGTGGGTTAGCAGTGATAAACATTCAACATATTAACCTAAAGTTGCACCATGTAACTCACAGATATCAGTCTTAAAAAATATAAACTGTTCATGCATGTCATTGTTTTCTAGCTCATCAGGTCTTGTCTTTGATAGCGTACATAGATTGGAATGTCAGGTGGTTGAGGTAGATTTAAGCACCATTTTGTGCTTAGATATTTTGAAAGACTCTGCTACCTGACATCATTAATGCAAGGCTTTCATGAGGCCCTGCTGCTGTCTAGTGCAGAGATACTGGCAAAACAGTTGCTAGACATGCTGATGTAACAGCCATATCCTCTTTTTTGCGACAGTTTCAGCAGTGTATGATGTAACACTAAATTTCAGAGGAAACAAGAACCCGTCTTTATTAGGAATTCTTTATGGAAAGAAATATGAAGCAGATATGTGTGTAAGGTGAGCATATCATGGAGGTGAGCCCTAAGATGCTTGGTTTAGCATGTTGAAGTGTATTCAGATTTTACAGGGAAATGTCCTCTGCCATAGTCCCCTTTTCCTTATCCTTCAAGTTTCTCTGCAGGCCACAAAGACCTTTCTGTTTTCGCTTTGCTTTATTTCATTTCTGTATTTGCAAGCCAATGACATCGCCCAGCAAGACAGAGCACTGGGTAGACTTTTCGAGCCTGGGTATGCCCACGCTGTCTTTCCGGGGTTTCCGCAAATTTTGTGAAATGAGGACACTTGTTTGCCCTTTTCCTTTCTCTGCTGAGAACAGAAAACCAAGTGTTCTGTCCCCTTCCCAGTCCTTTGTGAGCGTATGTGTAGTATAAATAGGCTGTCCAACAAGAGCTGTCTCTTGTAATAAGTGGTGTAAAGCTCCTTACTGTGCCAGTTTCTCTCCTTTTCTCATGTGGTTTGATTAGCAGATTAGAAGTTAAATACTGCTGAAATTGAAACATGATATGAATACAGTGGTTCTTTCCTCACAGTTGCACTTACGCCTAAAAAAAAAAACCTCCTAACACCTTGCTCCACACAACATATACTTGCAGACACGCACACACAAACTTATCTCTTGATTTCTGCTTATTGGCTTCAGCTTTGATGGTGTCCTTGTGATCATAATAGCTATGACCTTTCCTGTTGAATTTCTTCTTTCCCCTTTTATGTTTGGACTTGACAAATGTCCTGGTTGTTCTTTCCATAGCTGTTTTGACAGCTTATCATTTGTGCCTTTTTCAGGGCTTAGCCCGCACTCTGGAAAACATTACTATATTCTGGTAATGGTGTTGATCATGTTTTTTTGTTTATAATCAATAACCGCTACAACAAAACTGCCACTTCCCCCACTCCATCTGCCCGGCTTTGGGTCTCTGCTCTGCAGATGCATGCTACTGCCCTGTAATGAAAGCAGAAGTGTCATACCAGAACCTCCAAGGGTGAAAGGCTATGAGGAATCGCACTGATCATCTGTGGTGCCTAGGTATAGCAGCAACAGTTTTGTGGCAAAAAGCTAGCCCAGGGAAGGCAGAGTGCTGCGGCCTGAGTAGGGAAGGACACGTGTTCCAGTGCTGCTCTCTGGTAACGTGCAACTACCATGAGATTTTGGTCTTTCAGGTGGAAAGAAGGTTCTGGAGGTGGTTGGGAGATAGATGGGGTTACCCATTTGGAAGGAGGTTCAGAAATGCTCCTGATAAGGAGTGGATGATTTGTAAAGTGAGCAACTTAACCAACTAGCAAAGCAGCACATTAGGCATTTACCACATATAATCCCATACTGATGGTAGATGTGCGTCTCATGTCTGAGTAGGTCTGGGATATACAGGCGTGGAGAGTGGCTGTATCCAGTTGAATATCCTCTAGCTTGCTAACTGAGATGTGAGTTGGTCTGATTTACTGGTGAGGTGGTGGGAAGAAAGAAGAAGAATGTAGTCTTCAATAGTTTTGGGTTCATAAATTTCTGTCAAAGAGCAATGATATTGCCAGGTGAAATTACTAATTGTACCCTATTAAAGAAGCTTATGACTATGTTGCTCAGATAATTTTGATTTTAAAATATGCTTGTGAACTGAATCAACCTTCTCGAGACACTTTCTTACTCTTGAAGCTTTTTCTGTCTTTTGGGGAGGATGCTATAACAACGAGGAAGCTATTTTTACAGTCTCTTTGCTGAAAATTGATTGTATCTTTAATGTGCTGACAGACTTGGCTTAGATCAGAGAAAGGTTTTTGGTAATAGGTATATGCAGTTGCCTGTACAGAGGTAAGAAGCTTAGCCTATCTGCAGATGATCTAGTCTTTCTTCTGACTGGCTCCAGGAGAATAGAAATCATTATCTAAATTACCAAGTGTTCTTGCTGTGAGTACCCTCTTGCGGTGATCTCAGTGGAGTGACAACTCTAGCACAGCTTTCAGCAAATGGCTTTTTACTGGGCTTTTATTGAGCATTATTTATATTAATTGAGCAACTCCTCCCGTTAGAGCTATTAAAAGGAAATCTGTAAAACACTAGTGTTTGACTGGTTTATGGGAATGCGGAAACGTATTAGAAGCTTTGGGATTACGAACTGGGCCTGATCTTTGGCAAACCATCTCTGGCTTGTTTTTTCCCAGTAGTGTCTTTCTGCTTGGCTCAGTGAAAAACTAATTTGGATACTTCCTGTCCCCTCTGAGGTTGCTGTGTAACTACAAAGAATTGAATCTTGCAGGCTTTGGCTTTGCAAACTGCTGTCCTAGAAAGGTGACCCGTAATAGTGTACCATCCATTGCTCTGGCATAAGAGTTACACTCTACAGGTTTCTCGCTAAGCCCTCTACTTCTGCTTCTTAATATGGGACACAGTAAAACACCTTCCCCCTGCTGCTCTGGACTCATAGGCTTCGAGTTTATTTAGCAGGAACGTATTGGACAGTAGCACTTAAGTTGTATCTTGGATCACTGGACCTGGAGTCCTCCCAGAGATCTTATTCTTGCTCTGGCTGCCCTGCGGTAAGACGGGACTGAGACTGTCCTAGCGTTGTCAGAAATGCTTCCACGTTGAGGGGAGGAGGTGTGTGTGCTTGCCCTATACGTGCCAAGTGACTTCTGTCAGAATTGATCGTGGACTGAGAGAGGTGTGCCACTGAGAAAGGAGATGATCCATTTGCGAGTGTGCTAATGGCATATCCCAGAATTAAGAGAATGCAGGAAAATGGGCTTGCTCGTCACTGCTAGAAAGAGAGTCCTAAAACACTTCTGTTCCAGGTGAGGTCAGGTCAGTACCCTGAGGTTGTACATAATGTTTGTACATACCCAGAGCCGCATGTCTCGATCTGTAGGGGCAGAGGGGAAAAGAGAAATGCAGTCTCTGTGGAATAAGGTATTTTCTTTCGAGTTGGTACAAAACAAATTTTTAAAAACCCTTCCCACTCTTCCTAAATTTTTTTCCCCACTAACAAATTATAATGAACTTTGTCCTGGGTTTTGTCACTTGTTTGTTTTTTCCCAGCTCTGGATGTCTCGGTCTGAACTCATTGGCACTTGGCTAGTGATGGCTCTGCTGAGCAGAGCAGAGTTTTAATGGGAGTGCTTGTTTTACTGAAGTGCTCTGAAATGGATGGGAGGTTGTGCATTTTCTTTTGTTCTAGGAATCTGAGTTTTTAGGTGGAGAATCAGGGGTTGTTTAACTCCTAGATCTTCTTCACGCTTAAGAACTCTGATGCCAGCAGCTAGCGTTATCTCCTGCTTGTGCCCAATATTGAATGAAAGACCTTCCCTACTAAAGGTCTTAAGTTAAATACCTGGATTTTTCTTTAATTCTATTTTCTAAATCTCTCTAATAAACTAGGAGATTTCCTCTGGAAGATATCCCTCAAGATGAAAAGGAAGCTGCAAACTGGCTTCATAAGCTTTACCAAGAAAAGGTAAATGGCTTTGCTTTCTCCACTTCAGGACTTTCACAGGGGCAATGTGTTCAAGAACTGGGTGATGCACACTCCTCCACTGGAGGGAGAGAGGACGTGGGAATGTTATGTATAATTTGGCAGCCATTTCCTCAAATTGCTGGAAGGAGCAGTGCAAACAATCTCTGAAGGAGCCCTCTCCTTGTGTCCTTGGGCACAGAAGGGTGGCTAGTAGGTAGGTCTCAAATTGCAGGGAAGCGCTATGGGATTCAGAGAGAAACCCAGGCTGGAGAAGACTAATATCAGCCCATGATCTTGTGTTCTTCAGCTCTTGGATCTCTGTCATGCCTTTCTAAAGCTCCATTTCCGCTACAGATGTCTTTAGGCACTCAGGAAGAGTGATAACTGTGTGTCAAGGGCAGCTAGTCCTGGTTCTTAGCCACAATTATCTTCTGCTTTCATTTCTTTTCTGCTTTCACTTTCCTTCTGCCTCTTTGTAGTATTTCTGCAGTTATGTGTGACATGGTACAGGCAGTCCCATGACAGGATCTGCTGCTGGAGACTAGTATAGCCTGTGGTCAGAGTGTCTTCAAAGCGCTCAAAGCTTTTTCTAAATTTTTTTGTTCTGCTCCCCTCCCCTCCTTTAGATGGTTAATTTCTTGATGGCAGATTTAAGTTCTGTGGGGAGGGGGAAGAGAACTGTACTTAAAGTTGCTGAGCCCTAATGCAGGCTGGACTGGTGAAGTTGAGATATGTATCTTGATTTTTGTGCTGTCCCTGTGTGGGGAAAACAGAGGACACAGAAACCTTGACTTTTGTAGGCTTTCTTCTGTGATGATGACCTGTGCTGCAGCATTTCCAGGCTTATGCTTAACCTGTAGGTAGGCAGCAAATTATCTATAAGGATCCAGAAGTTCCATTTCAAGTTTAATTTTGTTCATTTTAACCTACTTTGTTTGAGTAGTTAAGCTCTAATACAGTTCAGGGGAGAGAAGTTATCTTGCAAAGAGCAGTAGTTGTCTCCCTTTCCCACTCCCTCGCACAAGCAGACTTCTGAGTCAGTGTAGCATAGGATTAGAGAGCTTGAAAGAAACCCCTTGGGGTCCTTGAATCCAGCCTCCTCTTATGTATAGCTTAATGGCATGCTATACATGCTATTATGTAATTCCTTTGTAAAGAGGTTCTTAGATGTGAGAATTCCTTCTGAAATTCTCTAGTTTTGAGGAGCAAACTTTAAGATATATTTTGCAAGGGGTTTCTTTCTCAATTTTGCTCCTTCTTTACAAAGCTAAGCAGACTCAGCGTGGAGCATTCCACTTTGCTTGGCTCTGTTCCTCAGACAGTGCGCTCTGCTTTGCCTCCAAATGGAGAGTTTAATGCTTCTTGCTGATGTTGGCTGTACTTCCATTCAGCTTTGGTGTCTGACGATGTTAGGGGAGGTAGTACTTATGCAGGTGGGTATTCTATATATTAATCTTGTGGTGCTAGCAATCTGTTGTAACTGGAATCCTTAAAATATTCTTCCTATACAAAGGGAACATCCTCAAAAGGATATGTTGTTGACAAGGAATGCCTTGAGCTTCTTGGCCCTTCATAAGAGAAGCTGCAAGAAAAATAACTTAAGTGGGGAAAAAAATGAAAAATAGTCTTACTGAGCCGTTCTTGATAACTTTCAGGATATAAACTTCATATAAACTGAGGGCAGAATGTGCACGTTACTCCTTTGAGTGATATCTTTCATTTTTGCATCTGTATACAGAATCTTTGCTTCATATCTTGATGAGCATTTGGTCCTTGATGTTGTCCTAGAGTTGACTAGTCTTGGATTGTTTTGTGTAAACATTATGAATATATTTTCTTCCATCTTCTCTTTCTCCCAGGATGCTTTGCAAGAGATGTATAATCAAGAAGGCATATTTCCCGGTCAGCAGTTTAAACCTCCTAGAAGACCATGGACTCTCCTAAACTTTCTCTTCTGGGCCACAGTTCTCCTGTCTCCTCTCTTCACGTTTGGCTTTGGAGTTTTTGCAAGTGGATCACCTCTTCTTATCCTTGCATTCCTGGGATTTGTTGGAGCAGGTAATAAAAGCTGAGGAGAAAATGCTAAGCCCAGAATGTAAAAACAGGATCCATTAGCTCTGATAAGTTCAGTGCATCAATTAATATGAACAGCAGTTGCAGAAAAGTATTTGGATAGAAATTGAGGGCCTGCTCCCTAGACTTTCTCTTGTATAGCATTCTGATTTTTGAAAAGCTTTAATCCAGACAGACTCATATCTTAGGCAGTATCTTTAGCGATGAATAGCAAGCTTCACTTGCAGTCCAATATTATGATACAAGGAGAACACGCCCTTACTGCACATGCTGTCTGTGACTTAACAAACAAACAAACAAAAACACAAAGCTTCGGTTTCCAGGCTACCTGTCCAGTTAATCAACACAGGAGGATTAATGATATTTTTTAATCTGGATTGTCCTCCTCTTTTAGTGACATCTGACCTGTGATCAGTGTGCAGCCTCATACAGTACACAGATGCAAATCAGTGTGTGATCTGTAGACACTACTGATTTCAGACTTCGGATAGCTCATGTTTGTTCTGCTTGTGTGTTTGTGTGCAACTTTCTGAATCTAACTGGCTTTAATATGCCTCCCATTTCTCTATTATATTTTAAAGCTTCCTTCGGAGTTCGTAGACTGATAGGAGTAACTGAAATAGAAAAAGGCTCCAGCTATGGCAACCAAGAATTCAAGAAAAAAGAATAACTGACAGCTGCATTTCAGCACATGTAACCAGACTGTGGTATCCAATTAACTTCAGTTTAAAAAAAAAAAAAAACTTAGAAACTATCTTTTTCTTAATAACTGATGACTAATCTTAATGAATAAAACTTGAGCCAAGAATGAAGACGTTGGAGGCCTCAACTGAAGAGAAAGCATCAACTTCCTGCCTGTTTAAGGATTACTGTAGTCAAACTGTGGGAGAAAATCTGGAGGAAAAAAGAAACTAATTTTTCTTGCTTTGGGGACGTGGGTGCGGGGAGGGGTAAGAGGGGGCATTGGACATGGCCATGTGCATCTTCAGATGACTGTACGCACTGGTTTCTGTCAAGAGCACTACACTCGCTTTTACAACAGGAGCCACTGAATGTTTCCTCTTGCTAAAGCCAACATAATATTTGTTGATTTCCAACTTTTTTTATTAATGCTCCAGGAAAAAAAAACTTACCCTTCTTAAATTAATTGACAAATGTTCTTTGGGTTAGAGTCATTTTGGAAAGGCTGTGTTGTCATGACTACAGAGGAAATCCTATTTGTATGTTACACTGATACTTTTTTATTTTCAGGCAACTTCTTACAACTTCTGTAATGCAAGAGAATGAATAGTGGAGTTTGGATGGAAGCGGTGTATTACTGATCGGCACATACTATAAAACAGATTCACTAGTATTAAAACCTTATGAAATTCTCATCATATCTCCTGCCAACTGCTCAAGGCTCAGTTTAAACTCAATATATTACTTTGGTCTTGAGTGTTGCTTGCCCTGTTTCACATCATACATGTATGTACACATGAATCTGTTTGGACTTATTTTGTTTTCTGAGTTAATGGGATTAGGATTTGGAGTTGTACAAAGAAGGAAATTTATTCAATTGTCCTGACATTTCCTCCTTTTATTTCTGTTCATGTCTGTCCGCACTGAAGTCCCATTCAATCAATCTCTCTCAGTAAACTGGCAGACAGCAGCAGAAACCAGCACAATAGTTTTCAAAAGGTCGTCTTTTACATGAAATAACTCTAAAAGGAGAGGTGTGTAGCAATCAGAGTTCAAATACTGGCATCTCTTGAGCTTTTCATGGGAGTTTTGACGTTGATTCATATGGGGACAGGATCTTACCCTGTGTGCTCTACCAATAGGCTATGCTGCACTTTTTACCTGGTTGTGCTTTAGATGTTAATGTGAAGTATATTGCAAGGCGAGCTGTACTAGCAAGCACTAGAGTAAGTTTGGGATCTCTTCAGGGATTTTAAATAACTTTAGTTTTGCTTATTGATCTTTGGAATTTTTTTCACTGAAAATTAGAGATCAGAATCGTGGCTGTGTCTGTCTTTTTTGTCTCTTTTTTTTTTTTTTTTAATTTTTCTCAAAAGGCACGTTTTGAGATGTTGTAGATTGCTGGTGTATGCATAGCTGGAGAATTATTTGCAGACAGATGGAAACTACCGATATGTTCAAGTCTGAAGGCGAGATTCTGCATTTGGCTGCGCTCAGAAGTTGGTGGAATAGATTGCAGATACACGGCTGGGTGCGGAAGCTGACCCTAAAGGTCTGTCATTTTAACCCAGCTGCCACTAGACTATATATCTCACTTTTGTAAAGAACAGAGCTTATCAAAGCACTGATCATTATTTTCATCTTTGCTCTAGTAACCAAGATAAGAGAGTAATAATTTACCTTCTTTTCATATTTACTCTTAACTGTTGGAATGTAGCCTCTTCTCCTACAGCTTTTTCTTTGTTTTCAAACATTAGAAGAGTAATTTCATAACTTGGAAAAATACTTTACTTGGGGTCATTAATCACTGTTCTGTCTTGCACTTGATTTTTATTTGTGGTCTTTTCAACAAGAGGATTTGAAGGATGTCCTGTGTTGTCTGTCTTTTGTTAGACCCATCCATGGTGCAGCATTATACCAGCAGCCCCAGTGTTAGTATGTTGTGCTTCTACCCCCAAAAATTCTGCCCTAAGCTCGGAGGTGCAAGACTCTTAAATATCAGTGAAATTTGGAATATGCTTTGGGAACTGAGGAGAACAGAGCCTAGCCATGACTTTGTTTTCCTTACTGGATGTTTTTGCACTCTCCTTAAACACAGTTAGATTTCCAAATGCTGATAAAGCGAACTCTCCGATTTTCTTTTTTTTGTTTTGATCAGAGGACCAAAACCAGTGGGCTTCTCTTTTTTTTCTCCTTTATTAAGTAATTCAGTAGTGGACGTAATTCTTGCTTGTTAGAAAGATGTTACAAATGCTGTATTCTTGCTTTCTGAAGATGGTGATGCGTATATGCAAATTGTACTGGTTTATCAAAGTGAGGCTTGCAAAGCAAGCTGATCGTTGACTCTGTTTTACACTTATCTTTTATGCAGTATGCTTATGGACATAAGAACTTCACAAAATAACTCCCTTAATGTTGAGAAGAGGGAGAAATGCTTAAGGGGGAAGGAAATAAGTAGCCTTTCTCTTTATGGGATTCTTCTCTCCTCTTAGTGCATGTAGCTCCCTCTTAGGAATCGTGGGATTAGTGCATGCACATCAAGGAGATAATAGTCAACATTTCATATTTTCTTATCCTAACTTATTAGTAAAGCATTGTTTTTGAAAATATAATAAATTATCATTTGCTTAAATTTTGCTCTTCTAAGCAGACATATCAGTAACCATTTGGAAAACTGAGATATACAGCAGTGCACAAAACAGTACAAGAACAGCACAAATCTCTTCATTTTGAATTTTGTCTCATCAAATAGGATTTTTTATACATATATGATATATATATATACACATACATGCATACACAGTATGTATAAGTTAACATGATGGGAAATAGCTGAACTTAATGTCACTAATGAAGATAAGCAGGTGGCTTAGATTGGAAAACTGAGCATAGGTTGTGTGTCTTACACTATGTTCTTCTGTTTAACAGATCACAGCTTGTATATTTGACTACCAAGCCCTCTGAGAGCAATAATAAACAAAAATATATCATGTTTTTTGTCTTTACTTTTCAACCATGCTGTCTGTAAGTGTAATAAAACTTAATGCTATAGGAGCATTTCCTCTCCACCTTTCAAAACTTTCATTTATTGCTTGATTAGATTAAATATCATGTTCTCAAGTTACGGACTTGCAAGCTGACTTTCATGGAGCTCAGCGTTGACTCAGAAGATGCATGGTTTCACAGACTAAATATGGACAAATGCTGTGCTCTGGGCCTTGGCAGCCCTATCATTGTCGTGAACAACAGTGATGTTGCTCTCAAACCAAGATTTGCAATTCCAAGATAGCATCATGTTGACCTATATCTATCTACCTTGCTAAAAACCTGGTGGGAGAGCTCTCAGACTGCTGGCTTCATGGCAACTCTCTGTTAGGAGGGCAGAAAAGTGATGCTGAAGAACGATGCATAATGTTGTCCAGATAACTGGTATGGCATACCAGGTCTTGGCATCCGGATAGCTGATATCGAGAGGTCTCTGCTCGGTAGGGATTACCATTCTCTGTTGCTCACTGTGGGCTAAATGTGCTATTGCAATTAAGTTTGTGTTACTGAGTAAAGTATTTGTCTCAGGCACAAAGAGCATGAGCAATGTTCCTTTGTTCTGCTTTACCTTTAACTTATCTTGAAGGGCTCTACATTTAATTGCTGACCAATGAATATGACTACTACCTTTGTCCTAATTGTCTAGTGTTCACAGAATAAGTGAATGCATACTCACTTCTTCTGTGTGATACCACTTGTCTCCTACTGATGTCTATGTATTTCCTTGCTTGTATTTTCTGCACATTGTTCAGTTACAACCATTCAGCAGGAGCTTAGAGCTTTCCATCTCTATCTGACAGAAGCCCTCTTGTGTAGCCTGAGCTTCTGTCTTCCTGAGTTTCGGCACTGGCTTAGAAGGTCTGAAGTGACATAGTTGCGTTCAAGTCTACCGCTAACACAACTTTGCTACTACAGAACAAAGCTGGATTAAGGAAGATAAGTCCTTCCCAGGCCTGTTCACAGATGCTGTCAGTACCTGCTAGCAAGACTCTCCCTGGCAGTGAGGAAACCAGTTAGAGGGGGTTAGCACACGGTCTTCGCTAGCAGTCGGAGTAACTCCACCAGCAGGTGGTCAGTATATGTTGGATAACAGCTAAAGGTACAGTTCCTGTCTGGGACAATCCCCAAAACGGTTTTCACTTCACAGTCGTTTTGCTTAAAGAAGCATGGGGTTGAAGTCGTGTGGGTTTTTTTTGTTTGTTTTTTGTTCTGTTTTTTTAAATGCTGAGTTCACACTACAGAGTGAACAGAGCGTTTCAGACTGAAGTGTGATAATATTCACAGATTTTAGCGTCTTGGAGAAGCATTTACTAAGCAAATCCAAGGCCAAGATGGACAGACTTAGCCCAAGCATGTTTCACTCAAGTGCTGCAGGACAGTGCAGCTGAAAGTGAAAAATCCATTCCTAGGTTCTCTCCAAAAGCTGGATGCAGCACTGTGGCTCCCAGCGTCTCCTAGCTGTCCACGCACTGGTGCCACTTGGCATGAAGTTTCTAGTTCACAGCAGTAAATGTTACGCATTCTGTTTTGTGCCTGTTAATAGAAGCCCATCTTTTTCATGGTAATGTTGAATCTGTACTTTGATGCACTTTGTCACAGCTGCTCACTTCTTTACTTTTGAACCCTTTGATCCAAAACAGGCTGCTCTAGAGCTGCCGACACTGAGTGAAGTTGGGATTTGAGGCAGATAACAGCTGTGCCGAGCTGCAACTCGCATAGCTGAAAGTAGGAGGAGCACATACAGACACAGACAAATTCTTGCCCTGAAAAAGTGGAATAATTGCCAGGAACTTTGTAAACCGAAGATCCGAATCTCTTTGTGGACGTTTATGAGGTAACTCTCGCTACACTTATGTGGTTGGGCTCATCTTGAAGGGCCTATCTCCTTGTTACAGATGGCAGCTTGTATTCTGCCATGCTTCACCATCTTTATCTTGAAGAATAGTTTATCAGATTTTTCTCAGCAGTCTCTGTACCAAGATCCTCACGGATCTTATTTTTTTAACCTGCTGTGGTTTTGAAGGAGAATTTTGTGGAAGTCAGTGTTACAGGGTCGGTGTCGTGTTTGCTAGCCACCAGAAAATGTCATGAAAATATCCCACACCTTTTGGAACTGGGAAAACAGTGAATTGGCATCCATAAAGTAATCATCATGTCTCTTTTCTCATTAGCTTCTCTAAGTTTATAGAACACTACCTGTATTTTTAAATACATATTTATATGTATTTATCCATAGTCGCAAGCTACTCTTCAGTTTTAGAAACTTGGAAGAAGGTTAATTTGTTCACTTTAACTTTTGAGAGTACTTGAATGTAGTTGATTGTCTGTTTCTAAAAAGCTTTATATAAACTCCACTAGCAGAAGAAGCATTCTATCTTTTATATATTTGAAAAACAGACACTTTTATCAGAAACTGGAATATAATACGGCGTTTATCTACCTTGGTAGTATCCTTTAATGTGGGGACCACCATTACCAATTTTCAGTCTTGGAGTTCTATTTCTTTTTTTTATTTTCACCAACATACATTTTCAAAGAAAAAAGAAATTGCCAACTTACTAGTTACACTAAAATCTAATTGAGAAGGGAGGAAAAATGGGCAGCACAGGTTAATTAGGAATGAAACTTTTTTCCAGGGCATGAAATGCTTATACAGACCTCATTTATTATGTGCATATGTATCTGTGCACACAGACAAGCTGTACCTATTTACATTATTTTGCTTCTGCTGTGTCAGAACTGTAAGTTGTGACAATTGAATGCTACTTGCCTGAAAGGCAGTGAGCTACTGTAAACTGGCATGTTACTCAGTCATAATGATCACCAGCAAGTACTGTAGCTTTAACGAAAATCTTCTCTCTGAGAACACTAACCATCCTTAACCTGAATGATTGTTACACACTTGTAATTTGGGGGGGAAGTGCGAGCACCAGATTATCATTATTAGCCAAATCTAATGAGTAATAAAACTGTATACAGGGTACACATTTACTGTGCATGTGTATATATTTTTGTACATTTTTACAGTTATTTCCTACGCTTGATTTTATGGCGTTCAGAAAAGATGCGTCTGAATCTGGTAAAAACTATTACTGGAAAAAAAAAACCCACTGTCACCTACTGTAGTTTCTAAAAAGAACTGTGCCCCAAATGAATGCGCAGATTTGCAGTGCTATGCAAATATTATTTTGTAAGTTGTCTCTTAAATTTTGCTTAAGTAGTTCATGCTGTTTTTACCGAGCTTTCAGAAAATGATTAATGCAAAAGACTCGTCTTGTGAAATAAAATAGCTTTGGCTGTGTGAGAGTACTGTATGTTAGAATCTCATTCGTGCTTTCAGTTGCTTATTTCAACTGTTAGTGAATTTGTACATAATATGCTGGCATAGAATTTTCTTAATTGTGCTTAAATGAAAAAGGACTACTGCCTAACATCTGGTTTTCTGCAATGTTACTTAATCAGTAGCTCATATGTAAATGAAAGACCTTCATTTTTTTGGTTTTTGCCAGTGATTTTTCCAGAACTAAACATGCACTAAGGGCTATTTTCTTTTTGCTTTCTTTGTGTCTATTTCCATTTGTGCTGCAGCAATAAGCTAGGTGGATCATTTTGTCGGGGCTGGAACCAAGTAACGTTACTTCCGTTCACTGCACTGTCGTTAAGAACTGTGGAGGGAGGTGTGTACTGAGCATTGATAGAAAAAGTATATAATGTTTCGCATGGCTCCTCAAGAGGACCAGGACTGGAGGAAGGGATATTTCTTTACTGGAGAATCTTCCAAAGTAAATTCAAAGCTATGTATGATATGAGAAGCTAAGAGTCCAGCAGGGGAAGCAGGTTGTACAAATAGATTCTGTACGTTCAATTAGTTTTTACATCTGCCATCTTTCAAGTTTTTGTTTTTCACCGGAACATAAAAAAGGACTTTCTCAGCTGCTCAGCTCTACTCCACATCATGCGCTCCCATTTGAAAGCAAATCAAGACTCATTGGAAGATGACTTTTGCCCCCCATCCCTTTCCCTAGATTTATCAAAAGGCTGCCCAACAGAGCTAGATCCCTCCAGCTTCTACCTCAAATATATTCCTGACCTGCTTTTGTGACCTACTTCTGCAACTGTTTGGTATTGAGCTACTAGTGTCCCCAAAGATATTAACTCCCTTCCTGGTATTTGTCTCTCTGACAAATACCTGTGTGATGCTAGCACGTCTTTCAGTCATCTTTTTGCAAAAATGCCAAGTGCTGAGTTCTTGGGCCTTCTCATAGGTTTTCCCTTCCCTGATCACCCGCTCCATGCATATACTGCCTTGAAATAATTCAGCAGTAACACTGTATGTTGTTGTACAGACGGAGCTTTTGTTATGAAAGGATGGGTTCTGTTCCTAACATTATGCAAACTTTTTTGTTGTTATTTTTCTAGTTTGTGCAAACACAGCTTTTCTATGTCTGCATTAAATCCGCTCAGATTCGTAATTTGTTTTTAAAGGCTGATGGTTTAGGTCTGGAACCCTGAATCCTCTGTTCCAGGATTATTTTTTCATCTTAAAGATGAAAAATACAGGTTGAGGTTTTTATCAGTGCAGCATAATAAAGAATTCATTTCATTAAAATGGTATGGTCCTTAACACACTCATGCAAAAGTCAACACATGAAAAGCAAAGCGAGCTGATGGTAGAGCTCTGTTCCTCCGTGTATGTTTTGTCACCATGCACCACAAAAAACCATTTCAGTTGTTCTGGTACCCCACCGAGGCAGGTCAGTGGAATAGAGAACGACTGCAGTGCGTCATGGACTGCTGCATATGGTAGGTTGGAAATGGAAGAAAATGTCTGCTACTTGGGTGGACGAGTAGAGGATGATGTTGGGTGGTTCCTCTCTAATGACCCCAACTATGCTACAGTGACTTTTATGTTATGGGAGCTTCAATGTGTCCTCTTTCTATAGTGAAACACAGTAGGAAGTTGCATGTCGTGGTAGCCCTTTTTGGGTCTGGCCCTCCCAAATTAACGTGATCCTTACGCATTTCACCCTTTTTTCTTGGAATACAGCATTTACTACATTAATATATTTAGAGAAAACAACTGGGATGCAGTATCCTCAACATCAGACATAATCAGCTGCTATGCTGGGAGTGAAATTCATGTTTCAGAAGTGTCAGACTCCTGACAGCAGTTAAGTTGGGCAGAGGGCTTTTCTTGAGGGGATGGGAGGGGGATGCACTTCCTATGTACTTCTAAAACTGTAATCTGCTCTTGACAGTCTGAGTGCATCTATGGAACAAATCTTAAGTACAATAGATTTTTTTATAGGTACATACAAGTTTAATAACTGCGGTGCGGTGTAAGGAGATAATTCTCTGGATTCTGCCACCCCATGGCCTCACATCTGTGAACCTTCTTGGCATCGTTATGCTCCTGCTGCGATAAAGGTCTGCTGGACGAGGTGAACCTGCTGCATTTGGAGCTGCTGTGGCACTCCTGCTGCTGCTCGGGACAGGTTGGACATTTGCTAGCTAGCAATGAAACCACCTCAACTGGAAGGTGGTGGGGGAAGGGGAAGTCATGGATGCTCTTTTTCCAGAACGGTGGCTGTAGGTGGTCAAAATGCTCTGGCACTTGCTGAGCGCCTGAGCTTGAAGAGGGCAGCTGCTGTCAGATTGGGTTTTGACCGTGTTGTGCCAGGAACATGCTTCAGGACCTAGCTCAGTGACCTGAGCCCTGGAAGACAGCGATTGCCTGTGAAAATGAGGAAATGGAGGGAACCTCCCAGTCTGTTTCTTGCTCAGGCGTTAAGTAATAAAATACTTCTCCAGAATTGAGCTATACACCTTTCTCCTCTCTCCTTACCTCTAAATAGAAAGCTCAGTCTAGGTCAGAACTGACTATTACCTCACTGCTTACAGCTGCAGAAGGACTACCAGCTTCATTCAGGTGATTCTCATTGGTAGGCTCCAGTCACACCCATGCTACATGCTGTTCTTCCATGCATTTCCTTGGTGTGTATTTGAAGTGGCTCTTGCTCACATAACGTCATAGCTGAGCGATTGTGCTAGGTCCTCTATTTGTGCCTTAGGATTACTCTCCAAGGTAAGCAGCAACAAATTAACCTCAGCATTTGTATCAGCTGTGTTTTTTGGTTTTTTTTCTCTTCTATATCTGATCTTTGTTCTATCATCACTTTGTTTGTTTTCTATGATTCGTTATGCTCCGTTTAATCCGAGCACAAGGATGAAGGATCTTTTACAGCTAGATCTAGTGATGTGGCTTTTTTCTAAAACTTGCAATACTGGGAAAAGCAAGGTTATAAAAATACAGAGTATTTTTATAACATTTTTCACTTACGGCTGCCTGAGCGCTTCTAAAGCTCGCAAACGTTACTTTTCCCATGTAATTCGTCTCCTTGAAATTGTCTGGTTTCCAAGCTCTGCATAATCTTGACCAGGTATAACGAAGGGAGAGTTGCAATATATACCCAGACAACCCAAAGAATTTATACGGGACCAGGAATAGGATAAAGAAGTTTGTGTTATTTTTAACAACTTCTGCTGAGAATAAGTACAGTTTTCCATGCCTGCCCCACCTCTCCTGGCCTGGCTCTCTGAATATAACATATTTGTGATCAAATGGTTTCAGTGCTGAATCGTTCTATAGAATTAGTGGTTCAAAATGTTCCACCTGCAAAGCATTAATACAGTAGGAAATGGTCTGGTACAGGTGACGTTAGGTCTTTCCTCACTGATAAAGCTTCCAAAAATATAGATTAAGAATGGGCAACAAAGAGCTTATTTGCAGAGAGAACGGTACTTTGGAGTTAGGAGGTGACTTTCTGACAGCAAACTAATCCTCAGAGCTCTGTGAGGAGTAAGCAGTAGGTTTCTTACTTACAGTCAGGGACATACCAAAACCATGTGGCTCAATGATTTTTTTTTTTTTCCCCCAAGGCTCTGGGATAAAGGGAGTGAGTAGTTTGGGCAGTGGGGATGGGGAGGCCCTCTGCTTGCGGTTCCACTGAAGAGCTATCTGTGACAACCTGTATATAAATAAGTATCACTTTATGTAGTAGCTCTGTAGGATATGTTTACTATTTCAGAAAGCAACTGTAATGAAACTCTGCACTCAAATTTCAGTATTTGGAAAACCTCTTATTGTGGATAAAGTTATAGCAAAATGCTCTGAGGACGCTTTTTTCAAAATTAAAGATCATTTCAAAGTATAAGACATTTAACTAGAAATTCTAACCTGTGTGCGTACATAATAAATGCAGAATGTACCATAGCAGTACTTTTCAATCTTTGCCAGTCAGTTGAATGGAATTTGTATGGCATTTGCACTGTTTGTGAAAACCTGCTCCACAGATAAATGATTTACCTTTACAAGCCCTTATGATGGGATTATTTTTTTTCCTGTGCCATGTGCAGTCCTGCACAAGGATTACAAATGTATTCCGAGGTCATTCTCTGTGTGGGTACCTAGTGATAAGCCATGGTCTCTACTTGATCACCTCTTATACATATGCCTTGACATTTTTGTAAGAAACTTTGAAATAGTTAATGCATAAGAACAGACACACTTTTACAGCACTGTAGCACACAAAGTGGAGCCCTGTGAGAAACAGGCAAAGAGAATGAGGAGAATTCTGGCAAGGTTGATCAAAACAGCTGTAACAAATATCCTTTTGTGAACCTCCTGAATACTAGTACTGATTTTAGTACTGTGAAGCTGGTTTGCAACATATCTATGGTGGCTGTTTTTTTAGATTGGGACACCTTTTTGTGTGACTTTTAGCTCCATGTGATTTTAAATTGCATTCTCCCTTATGGAAAGCAGAGGATCACACATGCTATTTTGGGGTTATCTCATTGTTCCTATGCAATCTGGTCTTGTGGAGGTGCTTGAAAATGATGAAAAGTAAGGCACATCTCAGCACAGTGCCTCTTGGGAAGGCCAGGTACTGTGTTTTGAGTCACATTAAGATGAGTATATAGGCGGCTATTACATGTATGGTTTGTCTAGATCCAAACCCAGGCAGCTCAGTCTTGTTTCTAACGCTGCCACGGTGTCCCCAGATGTGACCTCCCCTTAGGGCCGCTGCAGGCTGGGGCTGGCAGAGCCCAGGCCTGGCCCCGGGGCAGCCTGGCACGTGATCCCACACAGCATCGTGAAATCCAGCCTGTCTGGACCAAATGCAGATGCCAGGCTAGTCTGGTAGCTACTGGGCAGTGAAAGTTTTCTAGCCTTTTCTTACAGAATTATATTTCTTAGTTGCTGCTCCCAGAGTATGACTAGCTTGTGAGGACAAATTTATGAACTGGGTAT